CCCCAAAACCCCTAAACCCCAAAACCCCAAAACCCCAAAACCCCAAAACCCCAAAACCCCAATTTTGGTAATGAAAATAGAAAGCTATCACAAAATTTGAAAACCTACATATCCTGCATCTTCACCATCAGTTCGTGGTTCTTGACCACGTATTGTTGGTACTTGTCGTTCCCCAAGGCTGAGTAATACTCTATAGCTCTTCTGTACTGTTCGACAAGCTCTTCTGAGATCTCTTTAGATGGCTTCTCTGCAAGTTCTTTCTCGTAAATGCTGATCTTTTGTAAAATAGACCTTATATTTTTGGACCTTAATGATTCAGATGTAACTTCCATTGATAAGATTTTGTTCTTCCTGAGTTCATCAGTATTCTCTCTGATCTTATTCATCTTATCGAGTAGAGTCATCATGAAACCGTCTGAGTTCTGGAACTGGAGCATTGTTTCAAAGATTCTTTCCATTGGTTCTTCGCTATCTTTAACTTCTTCCTCGAGCTCTTCATTTTCAGCTTCCTCGTTGAACTCGAACTCATCATCGTTCTTGACTGGCTTGGACCAGACGATTGTAATCTTGTCCTTATACTCCATGTTTCTCTGAAGAGAGGCGATGGTAGTTATAGGGCCCCACAGGATTAGCTTCCCCATTGTAAATTTCAATTGGCTCTCATCTACTCTGTATGGTGAGTCATTATCATCATCCTTCTTTTCGAAGGGTGGACGCTCGAACAGTAAAAATGCATTATCAGAGATAAAAATGATGTACTTCTTATAAATATCATCATCAACCTGTTCAACACAGTGATTATCCAATCATGGTTGCTCAACTTGGCTTTGCCTGTGGTCATTTTCAAGCCTCTTCAACTCTTCGTCCTTCTTTTTCTTCCTTTTGACCAGAAATTCTTCTCCATCGGGAAGGCAGCAAGCAAAGGCTTTACAAATTTCTGGGTCAAAGAGAGTAAGATCGTAGACTGAGTTTAAAACAAAATTTGATCTGCTGCTGTAATATAGGGTTCCCATCTTCTCTCTTTGTTTTACCTTATAAACATATTGAGGGACTCTTTCGACAATATCTTTCAGGATGATGAATGGGTGCCATTGCTTGCTTAATAAATCCTCTAAAAGATCTTGCTCATCCATTAGAGAAGGTACACTAAAATTACATCTTGCTCTGAGCTCTGGGAACATAAAGGGGAACTTAGCCGGGACTATGAGATCAAATTCATACTCTTTGTCTTCTAGCTCATCAACTGGAGGGCCTAGATCTTCTTTCTCCTCGTCAGAAATATGGTCTTGCTCTCCTTCGCAGTCCACTTCAGGGTCCGCAAGAGAAAGTTCTGACTGATCTGTCAAAAATTTAGGATTATAGGGGTGATCCTTAAGGTTGAACCGGATGTGAAGAACCAAGGAGTTATCAAAAGCTCTGTATGTCTTTTCAAAATCTATCTTTTCCCTATCAATCTTCTCTAAGTTCTCTATTTCAGTGGTTATTCTTCTGTTCCTTATATCTTCAGCCATTGAATATTTAAAGTTTGATAAGTCAAGGATTATTTTATAAAGTGGGGTTTTGGGGTTTTGGGGTTTTGGGGTTTTGGGG